GAACTCCTGGGTGGAGCAGGTTTACAGACAAAGAAGTTTATTTCCTACTCTAAGTGTGTTGTTCTTTCAGCAAGCTGCCTTTTTCTGAGTCTGTATAGGCCAGTTAACAGTTAATTGATTACTAATTTAATTGAAGATTATCTCAATAATCAGTTAATCACGATTAAGCTGATTAATCTGCTTTTATCAGTGTGTTTCTCTTCCTGTTGCTGCAGCAGGTAGAGTTGTTTGTCTAAACTGATAGTTGTTGTGTCTGTATGATCAGCCGTCTGTGTGACGGTCCGATCGTTTTTTGTTTTTTTATGATAAATGCGCTGCGTCTGAATCTGTTCTGCTCTTTGCTCCGATCATCGGCGCTCACACACCGCAGTCTCAGAGGGGATCATTTGAGGCCCTTGGCTCCTCACCTAAATTACATTACCTGCTAGATTACAGCAATTTTCCAGCTGTTGGCCTCCTCTGACCTTCATTACTGCGTCGCTTCCCTAAAGTCTTCTGGAGAGCGAGCTCCATATTCAATCTAAGCTCTTGTTCTTGACCCTGAACGCCCCACTCTGGCTGTTAATAATGATCACGATGATTTGTATTCACCTAGAGTTATTCCTGGTCCTGTTGCGACCAATGTTACTACAGATGCAATAAAATAACTTCTCAATCATCTGGTGGAAACAAAGTATCTTCTGCCTCCTGATTCAACAGTCCCATATGAACGTTTTGGACTGTTTCACTCATTAAAACTAGAATCTGTCATAATTTCTGGCTCATTTTGTGTCTAGTTATGCAGAACTATTTCTTTGTTTATTTGTCATTACTTTTTATCATTGTCCTGCTATGACCAACTGTTGAACTATTTTGACTTTGCTAACTGAGTGAAGTTAAACTTAGTTACATTTTATAGTAAAAATGTCATTATGTCATATAGTCTAACAAGGTTTCCATCATTTTTGTTTAATTTATTTCTTGTCTATTCCATGTTCAATAAAGGCCACTGGAGCCTAAATGAATCGTTAAAAAATAAACTCAAATCTCATGTGTTTTTAAGGGCTTCCAATATCTGCAGTGATTATGTTAAAAACGCAAAATAAATTAACTCAAGTTGAAGTGACGTGTAAAAAAATTAATTTGAGCTTATTATATTGTCTTAGTAAAGGATTCATTTATTTTATAGCTTTTCCACACCTTTACAAGTAAAGGTAAAGATAAAGAACACTCTGGTCTTAGCGCCGTCAATCATGCTTGTGTTTTCGCCTACTGCTCTAAGTGCTAATGGAGGAGAAACAATTCAAACCATTTATCATCTGTGGCCATGCTAATTAGCATTAGCATTCGTGGCAGGCTATGTTGTGGTGAACCAGCTGTAGCTTAGCACAAGAGTGATTGACAGCGCTAAGACCCTCCTCCTTGCTCTGATTGTTTTTTTCTGTCTGAACTGAGTATTTCTGCAGTTAGCACTGGGAAAAGGTAGAGGAGCTTCATTTATTTCACAGATTATCTGTCTGACAGTCACAATTTAATGATGATTTTAACAAATATGTTAAAAAAAACAACTTTTTTTTGTATAAAAGTTACATACTGTAACTTTAAAGCCTCCCAGGTGAAAGCGCTCAGCAGATTGATTTAAAGTGATGTCCTGGAAGATATTTGATACTTTACAGTTAAAGCTTTCTTAGTCAGTCGATAGATTGGAAACATGTAGCTCAGTAACTCAATAAAAGGCTGGACTGCTGAGACTTTTACTAAAATGAACTCCCAGTGATGCACACAAGCATTCTTGAAATAAAATCTGAACCGCGACAGTGAAAGTAGAAAGTTTGTCTCCCGTAACAGAGCAAGCCATGCACATGCACCAAACCCAGATGGTAACAGTCTGACAGCCTCTTAAGGAGATGAAGCTTGTGCATAAACTGATGGTGTAATCCCAGACTCCCTCTGCAGAGCTGCCAGCCTAATGCAACAGCAAGTCTTACAGAATCTGTGGCTCAAACCATCTGCTGCCCCTCATCGGGAGGAAGCGACACGCTGAGCCAAAAGGAAACCAGTGATTGGACGTCTCTCTTCTGAACTTATCTGTGATAATTAAATTCTGTTCAGGCGTCGGATTGTCTTGGGGCAGAGCAAATGAAAGGTGTTAATGTTTCCTGCTTGATTTAAAGTGAGACAACAACACATCAATGTATCAAATATGTTACTAAAAGTCAGAGATGAGATTCGGGTTTTGGACGTTTCGCCATTACAGTAAAATCAGTTAATACAGATACTGTTACATTGTTAATTGTGATATTTTTTCTTTCTGGAATCAAAATATAAAATAATTCATTCGTTTGGTTATACTTTTAGTTTCATGCTACCTATCTGCAGTGCATGCTCACCAGTCAGACATGGTTTATGAACAATTTTGATTTTGGTTTGGTTTTAATAATCAAACCATTCGTTTGGTTCATTTCCTCTCATATCACTGAATGAAGGGTTTTCATATACTGACCAGAGGAACATCCAGGTAGAACATACAGATGTTCTACTTGTATCATGTTCTACCTGAGGCATGTAGAACATCCAGGAGGCATTGGTACGTCTGGATCTATGTTTAGAAATCTCGTCTTTCTCTGTGGTTGCGAAGGGCATCGGAAACTTTAGGTGGTGAGTTGCAGTCAGGAGTTTCAGTTGCTAAATGTGGATTCAAACCCAGTTCTGTTTAGTCCACTTTAATCAAACTCTAGTATGTTTGTGTAATAAGTTAAAGTGTGAAAGCGAACTGCACCGCCTGAAAATGCAACAAATGTTACAGCTTTGGTCCCAAGTGGAGCCGTGTCTACTGGACTATGATGTGTTGAAACACCCTACATCATCCTGAAATCTCCTCTGTTTAGCCTGATGAAATACTACACTGACTCTGAGATGCACATTGATTTTTTTCTTTTTCATTTTTCCTCTTTGGTTGACAGAAATCTTGACTTCATCTCGACCATTCAGAGCCCTTGTTTTGTTTTTATTTTTGAAGCCCCTCCTGGTGTACATTGTCCTGTTACATGTTGCAGTTTAGACAGACAGGATGCCGTTTCACTCTGGAGTACTTTGATTATCAGAGAAATTCAAGGTTGGGTCAACGACTACAGACCCTCAGTGTCAGCCACCCAGCCTCTGAACTCCAGAGTCAGATTGAAGTGTTTGTGCTGGTATGGTGTTGTGGTCAAACACCTCAACATTGCCGTTGTTGGATGCAACTTAAATCACACTTCCATAATCTTTTTTGAAGGAAGAGGCCTTCCCATTCCTAACAAGTTGCATTTATTCAGTCTTGTTCTGATCCTGCTGCCTGTAGGATGCATGGTGGAGCGTTTTTCTATTTCTCTGACCTTTGCATGGTGTGGCCCTGGGGTGAATTTGCTGCTCTCTCCACATCTTTGAAGATTGACAGCCATCTTAAACGGTCTCCAGTTTGATTAATTTTTCTCTCTGCAGACTTTAAATTGCCTGATAATGGCCTGATAACCCTTCCCAGACTGATAGACAGCTGCGATTGTTCCTCTGAGATAAACGGGCGACAACTTTTTCGGAGTCAGAGCTGGACTCTGGCTGCAGGGATTCAAAGGAAAGCTGTCTTATCTCCTGGTAGCAGCATTTTTTTTCTTATGTGCTTCTTGTCTCTTTGCTTGGCTGCTGCGCCATCCACCCAGCTACAAGATGTGATGACCAGGTAGGACGAGTCCTGACTGACGGACAGGATTGCTATGCAAGGGCTGCAGGGATTTAGCCGGGCATTAAAGAGAAAGACCAGAGAATTGAGAGAACAGCACACAATGATTGATGAAGCTCCGCTTGAGGCTGAGGTTGCTTTTAAATCTCAGGAGAAAACGAATCCTGGCGTTTTCTCAAAGGTCTGATGATTTTGCAACAGAATTTTTCATCCCATTGGGAAAGCTGTCCTCGTCAGTCAATGTGACCACCTCAGTCACTTTGTATTTCAACATAGCAAATCATTTACTGAGAGAGTAAAGCAAAATAACAAAAATTAATAGAAGAGAATAAAAATAGCAATGTACCAATTAACGGCGCCGATTTCCTCCTGAATTTTGAGAGATCGGTGATCGGCCGATACTTACGTGTGAAGCCGAGATTATTCTTCGAGCTCATCTACCTCAGCAAAGGACTAAAAATCAGACTCTGTGCTCTTTTGCTCTGCTGTGAGAGGCCGTCAGGTCATGTCTGCACGTTTGCTATTAGTCACCTATAACTAGGTGAATCAGTGACTTTCTTGCTATATTTGGCGACATTTCAGACAAAAAAATTGGTACTGGCCAAAATCTGATCTTTTTAAATATCAGTAATCGGCTATATTTGTAGGCGAATACACGCCTGTAAATATCCTTTGTCTGCCAGTGGGGAAAAAAAATCTGGTGTATAGCATATTAAAGCAGAAATTATGAATAGGTCTAACTTATAGCACAGGAAAAAAATACTGTGCAGTTATTAAAAGTAGCAGGGGTGCGCCGATAAATTGACTCTTATTTCCTTAATTTTGGATGTCTGTCGTTCGGCCGATAGTTGCATGCGAAACCGATCTTATCCTTGTATTGCAATTCTATAATTGCACCGCTTAGCACATCGGAGCAGCTCTGTTACTGTCATTGAGATTTTTTCTTTGTTTTTCTCCAAATTTTCATTCTTGTGTTTCTGGTGGAAAATTGCTTTATTTGAAAACCGTTCTTCTTGTTTTGGATGCTGTGCAGCTGAACTGACTTTTCTTGAATTAATATGAGTTACCTTTAATTTCCCTTTGGGAACAATAAAGTGTTTTTGAATCCACCGATCCACCTCAGCCACTGTTTCCTTTTAATCTGAAGTGGTGTGAATACAAGGAACTGTATGAAGACTTCCCAGAACCGTTCAATAACACTGTGAACAAGGCAGAAGTTTTAATGTATGCTTCATTTCCTTTCTCCTCTTTGATGAATCTGAACATGTCTCTCCTCCTGTGCCGTCATCGTCCTGCCGCCTTGCAGAAGAAGAGCAGAGAGGAGAGCTGCGGTGAGGGCAGCGGAGTGGAGATCCTGGAGAACAAGCCTTACGAGGACGGCCCGGGAGGGTCGGGTCAGTACACTCACAAGGTCTATCACATCGGCAAACACATCCCGTCCTGGTTCTGTGCCATCCTCCCTCAGGCCGCCCTTCGTGTGGAGGAGGAGTCCTGGAATGCTTACCCCTATACACGAACCCGGTGAGGAAACACCGCGCAAAGGCAGCGCGACGCTGTCACACGTACATGCTAACATCATGTATGCTAACACCACAGTGCAACAGCAAATTAAGGCCACTGCAGATATAAAAAAAAATAGCATTAAATTTATATATATATATACATATATATATATATATATATATATATGTATATATATATATATATATATATATATATATATATATATAAAACATACATTTTGAGATTAATCTCAGAAATTTTCTAGGAAAAACTTGGAAATTTCAAAACAATTTTTCTTTTTTTACTTTTGGAAATGTTCTCAGTTTCAACAACTGGTTAGCATTTTAAATTTTTGAAATTTCCATTTTCTAGAACATTTCTGAGACTTCACCTCAAGTTCTTAACTTGGGGGAGTAGGGAAGACACTAACAAGAAAGAGTCAAGTTTCAGATGGCTTAATTGAAACATGACTCCCATCCATTAGTGAAACAAACGGCGCTGACGTCTTCAGCAACTCCCACTTTGATAGATCATATTCATCAGTATTCAGCTTCCCAGAATTTCAGGAACTCCTGATCTTCCATGGAAGTTCCAAGGAACTTCCATGGAACTTCCATGGAACTTCCAGCAGACTCAACTTCCATGTTGAGTCTGCTGCTGACACCTTTCTGCAGGGCCTGATTACATAAAACAACCCTTCTTCAGAAATGTGAACTGCGGATGATAACATTAGCACTGGGGAAGTCTGTACTGCTGCATCATGTTTAGCATTGAGATGCTATTTTAGGCTTGAAAAGCTTCTCTGACAGGCTAACTTCTTTTAGCACAAGTTACAACACAACAATAGTTTTTTCCAGAGTCCCACCAGATTGTTTTTTGAAACAAAAATGACCAGAAACACGCAAATACAAAAGCTCTGACTCAGGACTTTTTTATTCTAAAACAAAAAAGTGATTAACTGCGCAGCAATTTTGAACTCATTAAGTCTATGTAATTAATTAATTGAAATTAACATTTCAATCGAGTAAACATGAATGTGTGGCATAGCAAATTGCAGTATTTGACAACTCCCAGATCCATGAAGGCTTACTCGATATATCTTTGTTTCACTAAATGCATTTCAGAACTTTTTCCAGAAAACAATTGAAGAAAGAATAAAGTTTATCTGGTTCAAGCAACAAACTTCAGGACAGTCACTCACAAAAGTAACAAATAGAGAAAGTTTAGTTTTCTGCGTATTTCACAGATTGAGTTTATGTTTGGGATTTGGTTTCCGTCCTAATAGACCGCTCCTCTTGTTTCCCAGGTATACTTGTCCATTTGTTGAGAAATTCTCCATAGACATTGAGACGTATTACAAACCAGACACTGGAAATCAAGCAGATGTCTTCAATCTATCCTCTGCTGAAAAGAGACAGAGGACTGTCGGTGAGTTTATTTATCTATCTAAATGCCCGTTCTCCAGGTCATTACTCTCGAATTGTTCCTTTGGGATCCTCTGTGTGATTGTCATCCCCTTAATAAACAGGAACCAAATCGGCACAGCGATATTTGCGGTGGAAGCTGCGGCATGCTGTAACAGGGGCACACAGGTTGAGGAGTGTAAGAGCCGGGGTTGAGGCTCTGCATACTAAAATTCACTGGGGAGCAGAAGAAATGTTGAGTCTGCTGCTGACACCTTTCTGCAGGGCCTGATTACATAAGAGACAGAAAATTACATATTTTTCTTCTGGCAGCTCGTTATTGGTTCTGGTTATATCTGCAGCTCGGATCTGCCTTGGTCTAACAATCCATTGTGTTTTCCGCAATCCAGATCCTATAGACATTGTCAAGGACTACATCCCTCCCCATGAATACCTGGTGGAAGAAGACCCCAAGCTGTACCAGTCAATCAAAACCAGACGGGGCCCGTTGTCAGAGGACTGGATCGAGGAGATCAACCACAACCCTGGTCAGACCGTCGTCATGTGCGCCTACAAGCTCTGCAAGGTGGAGTTCAGATACTGGGGCATGCAGTCCAAGATCGAGCGCTTCATACACGACGTAGGTAAGTATTTGGGTTCTGGTGTCAGAGTCTTTATCCTCAACTCATAGATTACATGAGCAGAAAAAGCAAAATGTAAAAAAAAAGTTATTTTAATATTGAAAAAACTTAAAACTCATGGAGGTTGATGGTAAAAAAAAGGTATATGTATTACAAGTGGGCTTATTATTCAAAGCTTAAACACTTCTAGTAGCCATGCACAACCTTGTAAGTGCTCAAAAAGTGATGTAGCTAACAGTGAGCACCCTCAGGAAAATAATCTTTACGTTCAAGATAAATAGCCTCTGAGCTGAAGATAGTAAGTTCTGGAAAATAACAATAAATTTCCACAAGCTGATCTATAAGTGATCCATATGTTTTGGACACTAACTTCTCCAAAACATATAGTCAGTGTCCAGTTCTTCAATTAATCTTAAAGTTCTGGGGAAGTGCCATGTAAATTCTGGAAAGCAACCTTTAGGTTAAATAAACTCACCTTTGGGTTCTAGGAAAATACTGTTTAAGTTTTGGAAAGTAACATGTACTTTTTGGGGGAAAAACAAATTTTGAAGAAACTAATCAAAGTTCTAGGAAAGTGCCATATCAGTTCTAGAAAGTAATCTTTAAGTTAAAGAAACAAACTTTTGGGTTCAGGGAAGGTACCGTGCAAGTTCTGAAAAGTAACCTCTATGTTTGTAAAAGTAATCTGTATTTTTGAAGAATCTGTCTCAAAGTTCTTTGAAAGTACCAGATAAATTCTAGAAAGTAAACTTTAAGTTAGATAAACTCAACTTTGGGTTCCGGTAACGTACCGTGTAAGTTCTGGAAAATCCATCCATCCATCCATTTTCTGTACACCCTTGTCCCTTAGTGGGGTCGGGAGGGTTTCTGGTGCCTATCTCCAGCTAACATTCCAGGTGAGAGGCAGGGTACATCCTGGACAGGTCGCCAGTCTGTCGCAGGGCACGTTCTGGAAAGTAACCTCTGCAGTTTGGGGTAGAAACTGTACTTTTGAATAAACTGTTCTAAAATTTCTAGGAAAGTACCATAGAGCTGCTAGAAAGCAACCATAAGTCAAGGAAACTAATTTACATTCTTGGAAAATACCAAGTGAATTCTGGAAAGTAAGTTATTGGAAAAGCAACTCTGTAAGTTCTGGGATGGTAAAGTAGGAAGTTCTTTAAATTAACCTGTGAATTCCAGTAAAGTGTAGGCTGCATTATGTCTCACCTCCAAGACTAGAAGTATTGGCCAAAATAAGTCATTTTTTTCCCAACATATATGTGGCTAATGACTGTTTCAGGTCTCCGCAAAGTGATGGTCCGAGCCCACCGGCAGGCGTGGTGCTGGCAGGATGAATGGTACGGTCTCACCATCGAGGACATCAGGCAGCTGGAGCTGGAAACCCAGCTAGCGTTAGCCAAGAAGATGGCGCAGTACAGCCTGAATGAGGAGGGGGTAGCAGAGACCAATGGCTCCTCTGTTAGCCAAGATCAGGAACAGCCGGGAGAGAACCTGGGGTCAGCTGCAGAGGTCGAGGGAACTCGAGGAAAGCTTGGAGATTCTCTAGAGACGCGAGGGGAGCTCACCAAGCAGTGGTCCACCTCTTCCAGATCGTCCAACAGGTCATCAAAGAGAGGAAGTTAGTGGAGCTCCTTGGCTTTCATTTATCAATTTATTACACAAAGTAATTCAACTTTTTACTTCATTACAGTGTTTTACTGATATTCTGGTTTCGGTTTTCATTATAATTTAACAGAATATTAATTACGTAAAAGCCTTGAAAAGGGAAATAATTGCATAAACACGTTCTTACCTCTGCTACAGGGTGATTGACGAGTTATTATAACTTACATGCATAGACAACAATGATTCCCAACTTGAAACAACAGTACAGTTTTCTTAAGAATTAACTTAGTACTTAAATATGATAATAGCAAATAACAGATGCAGAATAAACCAAACCTTGTGCAAAGGCTGTCTACAGTATAATGCTACATTCACACATGGGTTAGCATTGTCTGTTGGGAGCTGCCAGCAAACTGAGGCTAAACCTTTTCTCTGAACAACAAAATGTGTAAATATAGAGGGTAACAAAGAGTTTTCACAAGCTTTCTAATAGTTAGTAAACCCACTTACAACAGCACAGGCAAGTTATGTGTGAATTCATACCTGAGAAATAATTCAATAAACCAGCCACTGACACATCTTCACGCACCAAGGAGGAAGTTTCAGTGTTTTTTGCTATGGCTCTCTAGCGCTACACGCCCTCTGCTGGTTGCATATGGTTACTACATCTACCAAATCAAATCAGGACGTTAACGTATAGTTAACCAAAATTTAGGCAAACACATTGTAAATGTAAACAGTAACATTCAAGTCTGTAATGAATTCAATATGCAGATAAGAGCAGAAAGAATAAATGTACCTCTGACTTATAATGAACAGATTTCATTCCAGAACAATTACATAACTTTTATTGGCATTTGACTAGAAACAGCTAAATTAAATGTTTTGTTTATGTTTTTAGCGAGTCCGTCTCACCACAGCATTTCAGAGTGGAGGATGCAGAGCATTGCCCGGGACTCTGACGACAGCACTGACGACGAGTTCTTTGATGCCCACGGTAACAATTATCGTCACTCTGAAATCCAAATCAGCACGTTATGAGCCGCAGCTCAGGACCCAAAAGATTGATCCAGTTTGTCAAACATGCTCCACTGGAATCAGGACCAAGGTTTTGGTTTCAGACGTTTTTAAAGTATTTTATGATTTCTAATCTTATTATTTCCTGACAGATAAGAGACATGTTGTCATAAATTAAGTCAAATATAAAATGTCACCAGCCTAATAAAGGTATAGCCTATTAAAATTAATTGGAAACATCCTCAATTGAAAGCAAAACCAAAAAATAAAAAAATAAATAGAGCAAATTTGTGTGACATTCAGCTACTCATTAGTAATTATAGTAATTAGAAGTGAAGTGGAGGTTCCCAGCTTTGTGCGTCGGTGGTGTAAATCGCTCCACATGAGGGGCTTTTTATTGCTTGGCATTGTTTCAGATTATGAAAAATTATGTTTTTACCCTTCACAGAAGTTACTCCTCAGTTTCTACAAATTAGGTCCCAGTTCTCAGCAGCACCTGAAGCAGGCTGCAGCCCTCAGGAGCTTTTTCCTGCTTTTTTTTTTAAAGCACCACCTTATTTTCAGTTTGCCCAAACCACACAGTACAGCGCTCAATGCTCAATATTAATAAAGTGCTGCGGAAAACTTTGGGCACGTAAAGGAGAAAAATATCCTCCTTGCCAAAGAATGTGACTAAAATAAGTATTCTTGTTTTCAGATTGAATTTCTTAAGGCCATTTAAAGTAAGACAAAGCAACGTCTGTGCACATTTTTCCAAGGATGGACAGTTTGATTGTTCTGCAGGTAAAGCAGATGGTGCTCAGATGGCGGATGGATTGTAAAATAGACCTTAACAAAACAAACTGAGATGCAATGGAAAGCAAATGTATTTCAGTTAGATTTTATGTGATAGATGTAACTTTACAACACAGAGAAAGGAAAATTATAGACATTTTGGAACACTTTATACGAAAAGAAATGTAAAACAAAATGTGCCACCAAAAACTACAACTTGCTGAAGTTCGACTGTAATTCTTCAGAAGAAAATAAACTTTTTCTTCTGTTTTGTCTGTTTTGTCCCAGTAAAATATTTTTAACTCAGATTTGACAGAGTCTCTGAGCTCAACCAGAGCTCTTAGCATCTTTAAAACGCCTTAAGTTTGTGCATTTAAAATTAAGACCTTAAAATGTCTTAAATTTCTTTAAAAAAATTGTAAGCTTGCCCTAAATACTTAAAATGCTAGCTGTTTTTTGTGTTTATCATGAGAAAGTGTAATTTATTGTCAGGTAGCTGGACGATGCTCATCTTCACCACTGGCTCACTTTTGCTCCCGACCCATATGAGGTCAGGTGGATTCTGTGCACTACTTAGGCCTGTGATGATAATACATTTTGCTGTACAATAAATTGTTCTAGAAGTCATTGCGATAAACAATAATATTGTTGTTTTGAGACCATTCTCAAGTACTATAATGGTAGTAGTACCATTATAGTATTATTGCAAGAGCACATCCTCAAAGACCAATAAACATTAAATTCTAATGAACATTTAACCCTGGAACCAGAAGCCATCTTAAATATCCAAAACTAAATAAACAAAACAACAAACAAATGTAATTATGAAGTTTCTGTAAACAAAACTGTCCTTCAAAAAAAATGACTAGATGAGACCAAAGCACCAGACTGGAGACTTTTATCATCCAGTTTTTGGTAGAAAGAGAAAATCGATAAATCATGGCAATCAGAATCATTGAGTTTGTTTTAATTTATCATGTGATTAATTGATTTATTGATTATTGTGACAGTCTTAGCACTAATTGGGTATAGAATATGCATTTTTATTTTGTACATTTCTCTCGTAATTCACATCTTAAATTTAATTTATAATTCTCTTTAAAAGGTTGTTTAAAGGCATTAAATCTGAAACCTGCAGAAACCCTGACGACAGTTCCTTTGACTTGACATGAATATGCTCTGATCTAAATCAGTCGATTCGTCTGACAGGATGTACTGAGCCACCGAAACTGAATTTGAAGATTTCAAAAAGAGCCATAAACCACAGTCTGTGTAGAAAATATTGCTTTCAAGAAGAGGCTAGTGCTACATGTGAGTTCTTGTGGTCGTTTTGCAGAGGACCTGTCGGATAACGAGGACATGTTCTCCAAGGAAATCACCAAGTGGAGCTCTAATGACCTCATGGACAAGATCGAGACAATAGAAGTGGATGAAGCACAAGGTAGACGACCATTCATGATATTCATTCTAAAGAAAACTACAATCGTAGATAAAATAATTCACTTTTTTAAAAAGATAAATATCTGAGTTGTTGTTTTCTATTCAAACAGAAGCGTATCAGGAGTTGAGTGAGGACTACAGCGTCACTGAGGACACCCAGATGGAGGTACAGGCTTCACTCGTACTCTCACTTTAACTCCATGGATAAAAAAAAAAATCTAATTCTCACAGGCAGTGACCCATCTGCTAAATAACCTTTGACCCTCCATGCTGGTGTAGGTAGAAGGACTGTCCGTCCGCTGCAGTCTCCAGCTCTGTTTACAGTATTTCCCCAATAAATAGACATGAAAGGCCCAGCTTCTCTCTTCTACTGGGTCCATTTATTTTATGAGTGTGGCCAGAAGAGCATGAGAGGCCGCATATTATTTTAGCAAGACTTTATATTTTACTTCAAGTTTCAGTCATACCAGGAACTCAAAAAACAACAAGAAAACACAAACTAAGATGACTTTAAAAGAAGTTGAACAATTATTAGGATGAATAAATAAATGCTAAGTTATAACTGATTCTGTTTGAACTCAAATGACCCCTTAACTTTGACATTAATACATACATGTGTTAATACAAATACATGTATGATGTGACTGGGGATTAATTACAGATAAATTAGAATTTTTTTTTTTCTTTTGAGGCTTGATTGTCAGATTAAAAGTACATTTTGAAAATAACCTTTAAGCAGCTTTTCATTAAGCCAACATGTCTATTAAAAATGTTGTTTTTTGTTGGTCTGATGTAATATTCTAATCTTAAATGCAGCGTTTTCATTTCAAATCATCATAATCAACAAAGCTTTAAATATCAGTCTGTTATTAATCTATATAATGTTAAGTAAACTAACTTGAATAATATTCTAATTTATTGAAAATGAATTCTATCCTTTTTTTCATTACACTAAAATTTATTTCCTGCTGTTTTCTCATCATACTCTGATTCATACATTACATGATGTCAGGGGTTTTGCTTCCAAATCTTTTCCCACCATGTTTCCTCCGATCCTCTCTCCACAAATATTTCATTGTGTTCACCTTCATTTCCTGCTAGTCTTTATCTTTTTTTTTATCAAATCCGTTCCCTTTCAGTCCCTTTTATTTGGATTTTTAACCTTTTAACCCAGATTTGCAAATGTTTCTGTCCAAACCTGAAGTTTCCTTTCCTTAATTCAGATTCCTGATTAAATTGGTTATTCTTACAGCAATGCAATAAAAAATCTGAATCTTTAGCTTGACATAAATAAAAAAAAACAAAAAAACTTTGTGCTTCATGTTTTACTATGACGCATAAAAATGGGGAACTTTAGTGATTTATCGCTTTTTTGTTAACATTTGCTCCATCTTTCCTATTAACCAGCCCTTGTTTTTTCCTTCTGTGTCTCCCTTCCTGTTGTCTGCAGGACTGTCCGTCCCAGCAGTGTCCCCAGCCGTCCAAAATCCACGTCCTCATTCTGGTCCTGCATGGTGGTAACATACTGGACACCGGCTCTGGTACTACGGCGTGTTAATCTTTGGAACATTTTTCAGAAAACAAAAACCTTTCATACTCTTATTTCTGTTCATGGTCAGCTGAACCCATTCTTCATCTCGAGTTTAAGATGAGCAAAGAAAAGTATCACAAGAGCTCAATGAAGATGTAATAAAAGGAATATAGATTTGATTCAGATTAACTTTGTGAACATATTAAATTAGTGAACTTTTTCTCTAAGCCTAGATAAGGTGTTTTAAGATCAATCTGACAAAAAGCAAAGACAATAAAGGTAAGACTAGTTGATTGGTGAAAAGGTTTT